AGGGGGCCGGCAGACCCCTTGGCGGCGGCCTGGCATGCACCCCAAAGCCCGAATGCGCAAGGTGGAGTCCCAAACCCAGGCGCGGGACCAGGCACCTCTCTCCAAGATGCTGCGCCCCCAGCTGAGCTCCCTAAGGTACACAAGGAGGATGGCCAGGCACCCGTGGCAGGCCATTTTACCCAGAGGACCCTCCAGTGGGGAGGAGCGACAGCTATTGACTGCACAGGCTGGGCGCCCCAAGATCCTCAGGCTTCTGGAGTGTGGAGGACCCTTCTCCAGGAAACACTTCCTCGTTCTACCAACCCCCAGTTTGCTGTTCCCTGTCGCCTTCCTAGGTACCTCAGTGGCCCCCGTGTGGCTGGAAGGCAGGGTCATCTGAGGGGCTGACAAGTGGTCTGTGGCCTTTGACGGTAGCAAGCCTTTTCCTTACTAAGCGACAGAGGCTAAGAGAGTAGGCAGAGATGGGGTGTGGTGGCAGGGCGGGATGGGGGTGCAGGCTCCTATAGACAAGAGAGTTCCCTAAAGTCATCCCCTTTTTATCCAGCCTCAGACTCCATCAGGTGAGAAGGGCAGTTCCAGGCTCCATTCAAACCCACATTTCCCCATTTAGGGTCTTCCCTCTCCTCCACATAGAGATGATGAAGGGATCTGGGTTTGTTCAGCAGCCTCTGTCCAGCACCACCAGGGGAATCCCCCTTCTGATACTATCAAACTTGGCTCCCTCTGGACACTGTCCTTCCTCATGCTACCAGCTGGACCACAAGTTTTTCCAGCGCTAATTAAAAGGAAGATGATTGCATTCTCCCCTCATTGCCCACAGTGGTTTCCCCAAAGTTTCCAGCTCATTAGTTTAAGCCTAATTGGAATTCTCCGGTTCCTTTCAGCCCTTCCTGTGGTGAAGGCCAAGTTAGCATCCTTCACTGTGTAGGCCTCTTTCTGCCTCAGTCAGAGCTCAGCCCCTCCCGTTGCCTTTGGAGACCCTAGGATGCAGAGGAGGAGGGGGCAAGGGAAACCAAGCTGGGCAGAGAGGCTCAAGGGGATGTTTGAAGCTACTGTCTCCTGCTTGATTCAGGGTACATTCACTGGGCTCAAGACACATATCCATTATACACAGTAAAGAGTCAAGGCCGAGGTCAAAGGGGAAATGGAATCAGGTAAGAGTGCTCCAGTGTTTAGTCCTCAAAAGTGGTATGTCAAAGGGAGCTACAGACAGTATTTTCCAGAAAGTGAAGTTGTCTGTCACCCATATGGTACCTGCAGCCTGGTCCTCCGTGTTCAGAAACCACTCTGAGTGCATCCCTGCCACATCAGTCCCATGCGTGCAAAGGCCCCAAGTCCTTCCCAGCACTGGGCTGGAAGAGGGGCGATCAGCCCCAGAAGTGCTGTGAGGAAGGTGGCTGCAGACTTGAGGTTCCTTCTAGATGGCTAGTTTGCTGCCTTTAGGCCTCAGCATATGCCAGGAAAATTAAGGACCAAGTCTAAGATTTGAAATTTAAAAACAAAACACTCATAACACGAAAAGAGCAGCAAAGGATAGGACTATCTCCTCAGTGGGATATGAAACCCCCAGAATGGATTCCCTCGCCCACATAATTGAGCTTCTGCAAACCAACCAATCCCCTCCAGGCTTTCCTGGACTTCCCCCACAGACTGGGCTCCCCTCAGACACCAGTGGGAGCCACTGGTTGCAATGACTTCTATCACCCCAACTGCAGAATCCCCAGCTGCATTTCTCCTCCATCATCACCATCATCTCATTATCCTTCCAGAGGATGCTTGGAGGCCCCTAAGACATCATTTCCTCTGCTCTCTCCATCACTTGTCTCTTGGCTGAGTGAAGCTTTTAGCAACTTCTGTGTTATATAAAACCAAGGCTTAGTCGGGATTCTCAGAGACTCTCACCATCAAAGTCAAGATTCCCACCATTGCTATAACCCCCAGTCCTCACCACCTCCTGGCTGGTAGGTACCAAATGACAGAGTGCCAACATCCACCACCATCCACCAGAAACAGATCTCATCAGGCCATTGCCCAAGCTCTCCCAGAACCTCAAACTTAAAAGTATCATTAGGTACCCTTCATTCATTGTGTTTTCTCATTTGTAAGTTGAAATAAAAACAGGAACTGCCCTGCCTACGTCAAAGGGTTATGTGTAAGAATGGAAAAGAAAACATACAGATCTTGTTTGTAAGTACTGCAACCCCAAAAAGACAGCCCAACTCAGACCAGAGCTTCTGACCCGCAAGCCAGTCTTGTATGTATGTGTGTGTGTGTGCACGCACGCGTGCCAGGGGGGAAATGGATGTGGGCAGGATTGTTGCTCCCTGACCCACTTCACTGTCCTCCATCCCGCAAGGCCCCTCAGTTGGGATGAGAGTTGAGGCACAGTGCTTCTGCCCTCAGCTGCAGCCATTACACAGCAGCCTGTGCAGACAGACAGACAGACTGGCAGGACAGACTCCAGGGCATGGCAGAGCCGCTCCAGGCTGAATGGGCTCTTTGAACTCTGACACGCATGCCCACTCCTTGCTTCCCAGATCCCTGGGACAGCATTGGGCATGTGAAGGGTATGGAAAAGCATCTACAAATAGCCTCTGTGCATTTCATCTCTTGTTGGGTGTGTCTGCAGGCTGGAAACTTAGGACAACTGCACTGAACTGAAAGCCTATACAAAAGTAGAAACTTCAGTACCAGCCACTATTTATTTTCAATCATATTTATAAGCTTCTCAGTGAGGAGGGAAGCCTCTTTATCATGTGAACATGTGCCTATGGCAGCTTTCAAAGCACACAAGTTTCTAAAGGATTCTAATCTGAACAATCCCAAATGATTTAAAAGAAATAAAAGTGCATAAACATACAAACTAAGAAGCAGAGCAACTAAAGTAATGACCAAAAAGAACAAATAAGTCCATTTACTTAAATGTAGGCCCAATTTCATAAGTAATGTACACTGGATTTCATTTTGTTCACGCCGGCACGCACTTTTGATACTCTTGACATAATGTAGGTGATTCTTCTGTGGAGAAGCCAGGTGGACTCTGTAAGTGATCTAGCGCCCTCTGGTGGGTCTCTC